AATGGTACCAATTTCATCAAAATTGAATCACTAGATAACGAGTTATCAACGATAGATCAAAATATACTAATTTGATTAAAACACGAATTTGATTGGTTAAAAACGAAATAGGTCGAAAAAACCTGTAATGAAAGCACGTAAAGAAGAAAGACTTCCAAAAAAAAAAAGTATAATTTATCAAAGAACATTAACACATGCAAACAAAATTGATAATAATATAATGATATAATGTATACATATTATTATGTGTTGTAATATTTGCGCGAAGTATATAACTAATGAAAAGAAATATACAATTAACCGTGTGCCTTCATCCGGATCGCAACCTGGTATACATTTACATTTTCAATTTGCTTTAATATTTCATAGTTTTTTTCAAAATAAAGTTATAATTCAAACCTAATGTTCTATACAGCAACTGTTATATAATTCTGAAATTAATAGCAATATTGTAATTCTAACATGGGTACTTTCCGGTGATAGCTCCTTATTATCAACTAAAGGCTCGACTACGAGATCCTTTTTATTTCAATAGATCCCTAAATTGTGGCAAGTGTAATCGGGTATCCCCTTGCCAATGATGAAATCGTCGTTAAAGTCGGAATTCTTCTGCTTCGAGAATTTGTAGATGTTGACACTTGTGATTGTGTCAACATCAGGTTCGATGAGGACCTTCAGCCCTTTTGTGAACTTGGGCTTCTTGAATTTATTTGGTTATTCGTCGAAAGTGAAATTGGCTACATTATCAAAAAACTTACTCTAACGCTTTACTCTTGTGGGCGGCCAAACACCATTTACAAGTGTTACACTCATGGAAACACTTGCATCCGATAGATATATGGCGGGTGGAGGAACATAGGATAAAGCTTGTTGGAGTGAGTTGATCTTCTTCCTTTTCGTGGCAGATATCAGATTTCTCAATACTTGCATCCGGTGGTATATGACACGTGGAGAAACATAGGATAATGCTTGATGGAGTGAGTTGATCTCCTTTTTTTTACAAGAGACATTAAAATTCGATAAAGAAGGTATATCCGATTTTTTTTTGTTGACATGAGGGTATAATGAAGTTACAAAACGTTGAAGAAAACAAAGGCCCTTTTATATACGTGCATAAAAATATCCTGCACATGACAGATCTGCATTGCCATCAGCACTTGTTGTGCCAGTAAACCTCCTAAAAAGGAAACAACGACTTTAATTTTGACTCGGTCCAGAGTCAGGCTTGGGGCTGAGTCCCAGGTCTCAAGTTAGACTCGGTTTGAGTCAATTAAAACATCGAGTCGGACCTTTTAACATCCCTATTTATAACTAGAAAAAAATTGTCAAATACGTATTATGAAATAAAGGGCATCTCTCTAGATGCGATTTACTAGTAATTTTAGCAATCTATACAAAACATTCTATATACGTATAATACATAGTTTTCAAATCCTGTATATTATGCACAGTTTTCAATTTTTATATGATTTCAATTTCTATATATAATACACAGGTTTTCTATATATAATACTAGTGCGACGGATGGTGCGAAGCACCACCATCTAATACAGAAATTTACAGCTATTGTAGTACACATACTATGTAATTAGGGTCATGAATTAAATTATCATAATTTCTTCTATGGTTACTGTAAAAATTTTGTCGCTAAACTGTTATCTAGTGACTACAGTATGGTAAAGTTTAGTTTGCATTGACATTATCATGATTTTTACAGTTGTTGTAAAAAATTCTGTTACAAAACTCACTTGTCATTCCAGTAACGATAATATTAGTTTGTATTGAAATTTTAAATAATTTTTATGATGGGAACTGTAATTCAATTCGATTACCACTTAATGACCACAGTATATGATTGTTTATATTAGAACTATTGCGATCTCTATAGTAAGTTGCTATAAATTCTGTTTCAAAATTACTCGTTATTGGTGATTGTAGTATGTAGTTGAGTTGGTTTGTATCGAATTATCATGATGTAGTTGAGTGGAATTATTTGTGATTTCTTTCGTGAGCTATTGTAAAAAATTTTATTAAAACCTTACAAAATACTCACTACTCTACTGATTATAGTATGTTATTAAAATTTAGTTAGCACCGAAATTATTGTAAAAGAAACACTTTACAAAACCTATTACTACTATAATATGCAGTCAAAGTTGAATTGGTTTACATTGGAATTATCATGATTTTTGTGATAAGTTACTGTAAAAAATTTTGTTACATAATTACTCTTATCCCAGTAACTACATGTAATGTCAGAAAATTTTCAGGGTAATGATTTAATTAAGGGATCTACAAGTTGCAACGCATAAAATTTATAACGATCTATAGGTTTTGTAAAAAAAAGACAGTTTTCACTTCTAAGCTAACATTTATATCTTACAATATAACCAGTGTTTATTATAATAAAAATTTTTGTTATTTCATATTTATAGACTATCTCAGTGGCGATCATAAGTAATGCAACACGTGTTAATTTTTATAATAAAACATAGTAACTATTGAAATTTTCACTCAATAATAAAAATTTTTAGAAAATTTTTTTAAAAATAATTTTTTTATATTAGAATAAATTTCATCAATTGTAGGTTCTAAAAAATATTTTTTCAGATTTTTTAAAAATTTTTATAATAAAGTTGTTCTAAGGTCAAAACCCTAGCAATAAAATTTTATAAGTAATACTTATAAAAATTTTTTTACTAGAGTTTTAACCTTAAAACAACTTTGCTATAATAATTTTTAAAAAATCTGAAAAATATTTTTAGAAACTACAATTGATGAAATTTATTCTGATGTAAAAAATTTTCTAATAATTTTATTATAAAGTGAAAATTTCAATAGTTACTATGTTAATTAACTCCCTTAATCTTTCTTTGTCTGCATGTTATAGATTGTTTCTAATAAAGTTTAAGATTAGACATTAAACATCTTATTTATTAGATATGACCTTACTTGTGATCTGCCATATTTCTTTTTAGGCTAAAACAAAAAGGATTTTCATCAAAAATTTTTATATTATCTTGATTTGATTTTGATCTTACATATGTATATATGTTGTGCCCCAAATGAAAATCGGCCCAGTTGTCAATTGGGCTAGCCCAGATAACAATTTGAATTTGGGCT